CTCGTGACATGTGCCAAAGGCAATTTCAAAAAGAAAACACACTTTTGCTTTGCAATTCAATTATCTACTTTCATTCTATTTATATATATATATTTACGAGATTTATACCAATGTTATGCGCTATAAATTTTTGTAATATACACAATGTTAACATATATATATATATATAGGTCGTTTATTGTCGTTCTACTTTTTATTTTTGCTGTTATAACAGGTCAATTTTAAAAGGATTTTTTATTAGTTTCTATTAACACAATTATTGTATTTTTTCTTTTCTTTGAAAAAATTTTTTGGGTCACTCAAAAACGATTATTTCATTTTATTTCTACTTTCACACTGAGAGAACAAAGTATAGTTGAGGCAGCTAATCAAATGGTTACCAATACCATTTTGGTTAGAAAACTATACTGCTGCTAATTCAATAGTCGATACCATTTAAAATAGTAAAAAGTTAAATAGTTGTCGTTACCATTTTATTAGTAAGGGGAACTTACTTTTGTTAATATACCAACAACTAATAAATATATTGTAACAGATAATATTTAGTTACAGTTAACCTTACTAATAAAATTCTGCTTACTAATAAAACAAGGTAACTTGATAAATAAAATACAACCGCCATTAGTTAATTAATATTATTCACATTTAAAAAAATATGTTTATTATAATGTTAATATAACTTTCTTTTGCTGTACCAAATGAGATATAAATCTTATATTAAACATATTCTTTGTATGATGCGAATAATAATAAATAAATTTTATAGGTTAGGTTTAATGGTTAAATTGTTACTAACACTCAAAACGATCTATATATTCTTCGAACCCCTATGACATTAATAACTCCCGCAAAACCATGGCAATTTTTTAACACTCTCTACACTAACTTATATAGAAATTTTATAATTATATAAAATGTATAAGAACCTAAACATAAATGACCACGTTTTTTCACGACAATGCTTCAGGAGCATGTGCGTGCTTTACAGTGTTGCCAACCGAATTGCTAACAACTGCCAACCACGGGGATGAAACGCAATGTAAAAGTGAAGGCAGAGCACTATACGAGTCGTTGAGTAACTACAAAGATAATCCTACACTTGAATTCAGCAGTTTTGAGTGGCGAATGAAGCGGGAAATTTAAATTCATTTAAATTTAGTTTTAAAAGTAAAACACTGCAATAAAAAGAAAATTGAAATTTACAAATTAATTTCAATTAAAAAATCTAATAGTTAATAATTATTTTAAATTTAAAATAATATAAGCAAAAAATGACTAAAAAGTGAATTTATTATCTATCTTAATTTAATATTTTATTATCAATTTTTTCAAAAACTTATACATAAAAATGATTTATTTATAACATAAATTTCATTATATTTACATTCATTAAATTAAAAAGAAATAAAAAAATTATTTTCTAACCTACAAAATTTTCTAATGAATATATGAGAAAAATTCTCCGTTAGTTAAAACGGTCAGAAAATACAGTTTTAGACGGAAATTCTGTCCAATCAAAATTCGGTCAAGCGAAAAGCCTCTATACTAAATATCGTATATGCTTATCCCAGACAGAAGTTCCGACCAACAAATTCTGCTATAGATAAAAATTCTACCCAACCGAAGTTGGACCTTCTACTCCCTCAAATATTTCTGCAGAAATTCTTCTGCAATTCTTTCAAATAAAAATTTTGGTACACTCATGGAAAAGATTGGTTGGGGTTACCATTTTTAGTTATAGTAAACTATACTGCTACTAATTTATTAGTTGTAGTTACTATTTTCATTGGTTGGCATAACTATATATTATTAGTTGATTTAACTATTTAGTTTGTTGGAATGACTATTTAATTAGTTATACTTTAGTAAGAAAATTGCCAGGCTGACTAACTAAATGGTAAAAGTAACTATAATAAAAATTAGCTAAAATATATACTCTCACTAACGAAATGGTAATCCCAACCAATCGTTTCTCTCAATTTATCCAATAAATTTTCGAGAATGTTTTTTTAAATACACTATAATATTTGATAGGAATCGAATTTTTTTTATTGTTCATCTGCATGTGGTGGGTCTGATTTTGTGTAGAATGACGCACATACAGTTGACCTATGGCGAAGGCATGATTCGAATTCTTTTGCCGTTCGTATATAATAATACACGTACGGCACACAGCCGGCGGCTCGAAAAGCGAAAACCGCGAACCAAACGAAGAACCAAGAAAGGAAGGAACACGCCGCCGGAGAAGAGCACGCGGTAATGCATGCGATTATGCGGATCAATGAGCTATAGCGCTATTTATGGCTCTATCAGGTTCGCGCTACCACCACATCAATATATATATATATCTTCTTTGTTGCTCTTCATTTTCCATCCCTCATCTTTTTTTTCTCAACATCTCACTTATTTTTTAACTTTTTTTCCTATGCGGAACCTTTTGGTACACGCGCGCACGAGCCAAATATTTTTCATCGTTTATACAATTAGTTTTAGTGAACAGCTCTTTTGCTCTATATTCTAAGTCCAACTTGGCTTCGACAGAATTTGCATCCAGCAGAATTCATTAGTCGTAGGACTTTTGCGTCTCAGAATAAATCACGGTGCGCCAAAAGGTGGTTTAAATATAAAAATGAATTGACACTTAAAAATTCTTTTTGATTAGGATTCTTAGATGAATAACAAACATTTCTCAATAATTTTTAAAATCAGTTAACGTGCCCGATTTAAATAAAATTGAGTTTTTATATAAAAACAGTGTTTTATGGGGAATCAGAATTTATTGAATCTAATAAATACTGTAATAAATGATAAAATAATTACTTATTTTCAATTTTACATATAAATAATTATATTGCTGTAGTGTTTGTGTCCAATTTTAAAAAATTAAATTATAATGTTAAAAGAACGATTTTAAGAGTGACAAAATTTATTTAAGAGAGTCGAATGGTCTCTGAAATTTTTTGGCAAGAAGAGACCTTTAATTATCGCTCTATAAAAACGGCACTAAACGTGAAAATGATAAACATTGATTTTAAAATACTTTCTTCTCGAAAGACGGACACTTTTTACAAAAGCAGCTAGAGATCCTTATCTTATATAAATTTCCTAAATCTTAAAGATTATACGAATCCATACAAAAACACGATTGCAAAACGAAAAGTAATATAATGACAGGTACATTACCTCCCGCCGCCGTCAGATGGCAGCAGCATGCAGGGCGCACAAAGTCGCAGCTGTTATTAGATTACTTTTCTACTTTTTGTTTTGCAACCATTGGATTCGTACAGTCTTTTGGATTTAGGAAATTTATAAGATGAGGATTTTGGCTGATTTTGTTAAAAGTGTTCGTGTTTCGAGAAAAAAGTATTTTAAAATCAATACTATTTCACGTTCAGAGCGATAATTAAAGCTCTCTTCTTGCCAAAGAATTTCAGATACCGTTCGACACTCTTAATGCATAAATATAAAAATAAAACAAGAAAATAACTTCATTGTCAATAAATTTATATGAACCCAAATCTAAAACATCTATTATCTATACACATTTAAGTATACATTAAATAAACTCTGGTTCCTCATAAAACACTATTTTTAAATATTTAAAACTCAATTTGTTTTAAATTGGGCACGTAAGCTGATTTTAAAACCTATTGAGAAAAGTTTTTTATTCATCTTAGAATCATAATCAAAAAGAATTTTTAAGTTCATTTTTATTTAAACCTCCTTCTGGCGCATCGTGAAATATTCTAGAGACTTTCCTTTAAACTAAAATTTGATTGGTCAGAAATTTCAAGTTCGATAATAAATTATGTTAAGCGAATTTTAATTTAATAGAATTCCCTATTCAATCGAATTTTATGTGATACAAATTTTCAAAGGACAGAAACTAATTCATCTAATTTTAATTTGTCCGATTTTTATTTCTATGAATTTTTAATTTATAGAATTTTTAAGACACCGAATTTTCATTTGACCGAAATTTTAAATAGTCGAAAAAACAATCGACAGAAAGATTTTGGCACAATTTTTGAAATTGACTAATTAGAAATTATCAAAAAAAAAAAATTGTAATTGCGATTAATTTTAAAAATTGGACCGAAATCTTTTTGTCGATTGTTTGTTTGGCCAATTAAAATTTAGGAAAAATTAAAATTCGGCGTTTTAGAAATTCTATCAATTAAAAAATTGGACAAAATAAAATCATGCACAAAATCTTATGGGGTTATTAAGCTCTTATTATTAGACAATTAACATATTCAAAGTGTAGTCAATAGATGGCGTTCAAAAGGACTCTGTGAATATATTTCTGTCGTTTTGCGGCTTTTTTTGTGGTTTAATAAAATTTCAAGGTTTCCCTAAATATTTTATAAAATTATTTTTTTTGGAAGTACAAAAATAATTTTGTTTAAATAAATAAAAATTATTAGTTCCTAATAAAAAAATATATATCTTAAAAAATTTAACTAATAAAAATATTTTAAATAATTTTTTTAAATTTTGGTATATAAAAATTTAAACTTTTGAATTATTCTCAAATTACGTTTTAATTTATAAAAAAAAATTATGTTAAAGTAGAGCATAAATTTAGCATAAAATATAATAAAAAATTTAATAGAAATTATCTATATTCAATGTTTTAATTTTGAAGAATGAAATTTTTTTTTAAATAAATTTCGTTTCGGAAAAATTTTATTCAGGTAAATAAAATTATTTTACAAAAATTATTTTTCCAAACTAAAATGTTGAATAATTTCATTAAAATTTTTTATTATGTATTCTTATTATTTATTATGTTTTTTTTTGTTTTATGCCTCAAAATAAAATTCACTAAGTGCTTTTGAACGCCATCTATTGATCAACGTGTGTAATATACATATATTATGGTAACACACATAACCTCAAAACTGTCAAGAATATCGTAACTTATCTAACTGAATATTTATATTTGTAAATAAATATTAAATATTATTTTAAATTAAAATAAATAAATAACTACTCACTCGCAATTTTCACCAGTGGATCCAGCCGGTATATTTTTGTCAATCCAATTCGTCGGAGCTGTGTCACGTACTTTGAATTTCTAATTACATTCCTTTGATACGTGACGAAAGATCGCAAATTTTTTTCGCTTCGGATTCATATAATCTGTAATAAATAAATAAATGTTACTATTATCACTTTCCGCTTCGCTTGAATTCATTTCAATTATAATTTAAACTGTCTATAATATAAACTATTTAATAACATATCGAACACGTGTAAAACTGAGACGCCAACAATGCGACCGTCACAAAATGCAACTGCGCTTGCGCCGTAATAAACTTGTGATTGGTATAGTAAAAAACCGCGCTTATTTAAACTTCATAAATATAATAAATATTATAAGAATAGTAAAAAAAAATTGTAACTATCAAATTTATTGTTTTTATAATTACTTGTAAGGCTTTCTAATAAAAAATAAATATATTGAACTATTTCTATGATAAATAATTAATTGAAAAGTATCAAATTGATTAAATTTTTTATATCAATTTGTTATTTTTAGTATGAATTCGATACTTTAAATTAAGTTAATTATTTAATTAATATTTTCTAGAAATAATCAATTTTAAACCGTTGCATGTCACTGACGCTTATATCGTAAAAATTAAAAGTAATTAAATAAAAAAATAGATAAAATAAACTCCTTAAATATTCCTGAAATTGGTTACTCGGGAGTTTGCGGGGTCATTGATTATAAATCTGACAACAATTTTTCAAAATTCAAAATGGCGGATCCAATATGGCGGACGACAAAATTAAAAAATGACGAGTTCGCTTGAAATTTGTTATTCGCGGGTTTTTTTGGGCGCTGATTACGAATCTGACATCAGTTTTTCGAAATTCAAAATGGCGGGTCCAATATGGCGAACAATTTTTTAAAATATATCGGATTCTCTAAAAAAATGTTACTCGGGGGTTTTCGGGGTGGCGGATTATGAATCTACCAACAATTTTTCAAAATTCAAAATGTCGGAAGACAAAATTAAAACTTGATCGGATTCACTTGATACTTGTTACTTGGGGGTTTTTTTGAGGTCGCTGTTTACGAATCTGACATCAGTTTTTCGAAATTCCATATGGCTGATCCAATGTGGCGAACAATTTTTTAAAATACATCGGATTCTCTAGAAACTTGTTACTCGGGGGTTTTTGTGGTCGCTGATTACGAATCTGACATTAGTTTTTCAAAAATCAAAATGGCGGACGACAAAATTAAAAATTGATCAGATTCGCTTTGAAACCTGTTACTCGAGGGTTTATGGGATTATTTTGAATTTTAAAAAACTGGTGTCAGATTCGTAATCAGCGCGACCACGAAAACCTTAAGATACCAACTTTCATAAAAATCCATTAAAATTGTTTTCAACACACTTTTAGCCCAAACATTAAAAATCATGGCGACAGTCAAGGGGTTAAAATTAAAATATTTCATTTACAAATAAATTTTCAATAAAGAAAATAATTTTCGAAAATTTACTTCAAACTTTAGTAAACGTTAATCAGGAAATTTTTTTTGCACTTTAATTATGCGGTATTATGTGTGTGTGAAAGAGAGAGAGAGAGAGAGAGAGAAAGAGTAGATAAAAGAACGTTAAAGAACATAAATCTCTTTCGTTTTACACTTGTTACATGGAGATTGAAATCATCTATGAACAAGGGAGGGGCGTAAAAAGACAAGAGGCATTTCTCTTTTTTTGTGTTATGTATGTATGTGTTATATGTGGAGATGAACATTTCCATCTCGAAATGAAGAATGCTCTTACGTCGACAGGTGGACTAATGACGTCGAGAGAGAATGATCTAACCCCATGTGGTTTTTACGTCGGCTCGAACAAAAAAAGAATCAAGGTTGACTCGAACTGGTCGATGTGGTCACCCCCTAGTGACATTTCCCATTCTTCTCGACATGCTATTACCCCGTCAAAGCGGCCGCCCCCGCGGGACGTCATGCTTCGTTGTTGTTGTCATATATATCTCTCAAAAGGCCACTTTTCAGTTCACTTTCCTCCAATATTCCTCTCCCTCTTTTTGACTTTTCCACATGAACAATATTATAATAACACGAAGGGAATTCCCTCGAGTTTATTTTGATCTGATTTTTCTTCAAGTTCTATTTGAAAATTTTTGATTTTTTTTTTTGTTTAGAAAAGTTAGCGCTTCTGTTTAACAAAAAAAAAAAAAAACAAAACAAAATGATTAAAAATTTTACAATTATGTTTATTACAATAATTTATTAAATGACAATTTTTTATGCTTTTGACAAATTAAAATTTTTTTTTTCAACCTGCGGGTACGTAGGTTTTTTTATTTTTCTCGTTCTATCTCGAATTTAAAATTTTTTTTTATACATAATTATAGAAGAAGTAGAAAAAATTATATAAATATGTGTTTCATTTCAGGCGCGACTTCATTTCATCTATATCACTTGTCCATAAAGGAAGAAATTGTTTTTGAAGTCGACGCGTGATATGCGGGTTATTTTATTGTAGAAATTATTTTTACCAGTTAGAAATTTTATAATAGTAAATATTTTTTTACATTAACAAAATTTTTTATATAAAATTTTATTTTTATATAGAAAATTCTCTGAATGTAAATTAGTGATAATTCGTTCTCTAATTTAAATTAGTAAAAATTTCTACTATATTTAGTCATTTTTTTTTTCCATTAAAACTTTAGTAAAAACAAAATAATATACTTAATAAAATAGTAATTATTTACTAAAACTTTAATAAAGACAAAATAATACTTAATCAAATAGTAATATTTTACTAAAAATTAAGTAAAAAAAATATTATTAAATAAAATAGTAATATTGTGCTAAAAATCAGCGAAAATTTCTTCTAAAATTTGAATTAGTGAACGAATTCTATTCACAAAATTTCTATTATTAAATTTCTATTTAGATATGATTATTTTAATCATAAAATGCAAATTGCCAATCACACAATAAACAATTATATAAATTTTGGCTCGAAGATTTAGAAAAAAAAAATTATAAAGAGAATCAGTGTTTTTAGGTTTGTTAGTATTTCATCGATGATTTTAACCTCAAACCCAGTGGCCTTTTGACCTAGAAATTGACGTCATTTTGTGTTTATGTTAGCCAATTTTAACCTCAAACCCAGAGACTTCTTGATCTCTATAGAAATTCACCTAATTTTGAGGTTATGTTTACTTTACCTAATTTTGAGGTTATGTTTTCAGATTTGTTAGTATTTTGGTCCTAAACATTGGCAGGTCATTAGTTTCCAACCGCTAGGTCTGAAATTTAAACATAACCTTAAAATTAGGTTAAAGTTCAGAGTCAAAGTGGACGCTGGGTTTGAGATTATAATCGCCGAACGTAACCTCAAAATTACGTCAATTCCTTGATAAAGAAAGCAAACATATAACGTCAAAATTCAAGGTAAAATTTTGAGTTTTTATATCAAGAAGTTAAAATCAGTATAAACATAACCTTAAAATTAGATCAAAATTCAGAGCTAAAATATACGAACATAACCTCAAAACTTAAAAGATTTAGGGCCATGCCCACCTAGTATATTTATTAGGCATTCTATATATAGAGATGTACGATAATATAAGAGTTAAAGAAAGAGAGAAAGATATAATATAGATTGCTATCTGTTTCTTAGCACGCGTCCAAAAGTTATAACAATTACAAGAATTCCCAATAGGTCAAGAAAAAAAAAAAAAAGAAAACGGTATACTTATGTTTTCGCCTCTTCTAATGGCATCGTCGATCGATTCGCTTTCGATCGTAAAAAGCAATGCCATGTCAATATATGACTACAAAAACCTTAAAGAAACTGTCGCGCCCTAACAAATAAAGTCCCAAAGTATTGGACCTCTTGCTGTGGTGGTGTGGTTTCTCGCCCAGAATCGTAAACATGCACGCCGCACAATCGATTCTGAATACATATATATATATATATATATATATATATATATATATATATATATATATATATATATATATATACATATAAGAAAAAAAGGGGGCCGGGGAAGAATCCAAAGCGAATTTATTGAAAGCGATGATCTTTCCAAGATAACGACATTGAACATGAATATTATCCCTATAGTGTGTTTGAAATGATAAAATCATCTTCAATTTTTTTTTCTTATCCCTATACGCAATATGTATATTTATCGATCTTCTTCATTATTCGTTCACATTCCTTGGAGACAATTTTTTTTTCTATAAATATATATACATTTTAAGATTAACAAAAAATGTCTCTATTATCTATATATATATATATATATATATATATATATATATATATATATATATATATATATATATTCTTCTGGAGCAAAACTTTCCATTTTAAGATTAACAAAAAATGTCTCTATTATCTATATATATATATATATATATATATATATATATATATTCTTCTGGAGCAAAACTTTCCGTATACAGTGTTGTTAGAAAAATCTGCTTGAATTCTAAGGCAGTTTTTTTTAATTTAATAAATACATTTTTTTAAAAAAAATTCTAAATAATGTTTGAAAAAAGATTTAACGAAACATAACCTAAAAATTGTTGTATGATAACAAAAGCCAATTTTGTTATCGTACAACAATTTTTAGGTTATGAACCTAAAGATGAAATTTGTATAAGGGGGAAAATTCCTGAAGTGAACCGATATAAAAAAAAAAGTTTTTGGATCGGGCTAAAATTTTTCCTAAATTTAGTACTATGGGTGAGTACTTCACCCACCAAATATTATTAAGTTTTATTAAAAACTGTAGAGAGGGGAGGGGGTTGTAGTTTTCAGTCAAGCGTCAACATTGAGTTTTTCTAATAATGGTAGCTATTATATACTGAAATGAAAAAAATTTTGACATATATGTTTTCGAAAGGTTTTTTCCTGCTCTTTTGAATGGTTTTAAAAATTTTTGAAAAAATTCAAAATTTGACCCGTTTTTTTGAAAATTAAAAATATTTTTGACTGTATCTCAAAATCGGCATTTTTTTTGAATTTTTTTTTTTTTTTTTTTGAAATAAAGCTTAAAATATGTACTTTTAGTAAAAAAATTTTGGAAATGTCCTTTTTTTTGTTTTCCAGATATAAATAAATTTATTAACA